ATGTATCTGTTATTGTACTTATATTATTTTTGTGTTGATTTGCTCATTTAGCTGCTTTTATTATGTGCTTATTTCAGTTTTTTCTTTTCAATGTAACTCAATATTGTAAGCTGGCGGGTGGTGTGGAGATATTGGTGCTTATTATTATTTAGCATTCATTCCTTCACATTTTGTATATTTATATATATATATATATATATATTTATTTATATTTACGCATATTATGATATTTGACGACAACTTTTTTTCTGCTGATGACGAATCTGCAGATTCTTCTAATAACGCAAGCTTTTGTTCCGCTACTGGCACGCTTGGTGACTTTTTAGGCCAATCTTTTGATCAATCTCCATATCTTTTGAACATCTGTCACATCAATGTCCAAAATTTACCCAGCCATTATGATGAATTCCTTCATGTGTTCCCTGGGCAAAATATACACGCTATCCTAATTTCTGAATCTTGGCTAAAACCACATCTTCAATCTTCCGCATATTCTTCAATCTTCCGCATATTTACCCTCATTCGGAACGATCGTTGTGGCCGGGGTGGAGGAAGTGTAGCCATCTACCTACGTAGTACATTTGTGTACAAACTTATAGCTTCCTCCAACTCTGACTCCAACTTGGAATATCTTTTTCTGGAGATTGGGACAGGCCGTGCTAAAGTAGTCGTTGGTGTTGTTTCGAACCGAACTCGAAGCGGTTTTAGAATCTTTGGGATCTGAGTATGCACATTTGATCATCATGGGCGATTTTAATACCAATCTTCTATCTCCCGAATCCCCACGGTCCCGAAAACTCCTTCACATTGTCCAGTCCGCAAGCCTACATGTTTTGCCCCTTCTACCAACTCACCTAAATACTTGCGGTGATGATACATGGCTTGATTTAATCCTAACCTCTAACCCTTCCCTTATTCCATCCTATGGTCAACATATCGCTCCTGCCTTCTCTCATCATGACCTCATCTTCCTTTCGTATCTCTTTAAACCCCCCAAATCCACTCCCAAGGTTTTGCACAGGCGCTCCTACGCACGTATGGACTTAGTTAAACTGTAGAAGCATTTCTCTGAGATCAACTGGGACTCTCTGATTCTCGCTTTCACTGTTGATGACAAAGTAAAAATATTTAATGACACTCTGCTTACAATTTACGATGTCCATGCGCCCATCAGAAAAGTCAGGCTGAAGCGGCAACCAGCCCCTTGGATGACTGAAGGTGTTCAGATGGCGATGAGGCGTAGGGATCGTACATATCGTAGCTACAGAAGGGATCGTTCTGATGAAAAGAGGAAGCTTTACAAGGCTGCTAGAAATCGGTGTAATCACATGATACGTAATGCCAAACGCCGACACATTCTCAACAACCTTTCTTCTTCATCTTCTGCTGATATCTGGAAGTTCCTCGGAACGCTAGGTATCGGCAAATCGCGACATTTAGACCTATCTAATTCTATAAACCTTAACGATCTCAATCGACATTTCTCAACCTCTCAGAAATTGGATCGTTCATCTACAGCATCCACCGTTGCTTCTATAAATGGTTTAACGCACCCTAATGTTAACCCTTTCTATTTTTCACCAGTCGAACCGGCAGAGATCAAAAAGATAATACTTTCAATTAAATCCAATGCAACGGGATGTGATGATATTAGCCGTCGCATGATCGTCACTATTCTTGAATATCTTCTTCCCGCTATAACACACATTATCAATTTCTCCCTTGACACTGGTACTTTCCCTAGTCTATGGCGTAAAGCCTATCTCCGGCCTCTTCCCAAAGTTAATAATCCAACGCAGCCTAATCAGTTTCGACCAATTTCCATCCTCCCCTTCATGTCAAAAGTGCTAGAAGCATGCGTTCACAAGCAATTCTCCCAATTTATTCATAAAAACTCTCTAATGAACCCTCTCCAATCTGGATTTAGGCCTGGACATAGCACTGTTTCCGCCCTCCTTAAAGTAACTGGCGATGTTAGGGCGGGGATGAAGAACGGTAAAGTTACTTGCTTGGTTCTTATCGATTTTTCAAACGCTTTTAATACTGTCAGTCACGATATTCTCCTTTCCATATTATCCCATCTTATGGTCTCTGACGAAGTGTTGACTTGGTTTTCATCTTATCTTCGGGACCGCCAGCAGTTGGTGCAGTCTGGGGAATCATCCTCATCCTGGCTCAATTTGAAAACTGGTGTTCCCCAAGGCGGTATTCTTTCTCTCAAACTTCAGTGTTCGTATCATCTATATGCTGATGACCTACAACTCTACACCGAAGCAAGTATTGATGATTTAAACAATGCCATTGATGCGATAAACAGTGACTTAAAAGCTATCAAAACATGGTCAGACAATTTTGGTGTCACTGTCAATGCTGCTAAATGTCAAGCTAAGAATTGACAGAAGCAATCTTGTGTCTATATTCTATGCCGGCACTTTGATACCTTTTAGTAATGTTGTAAAAAATCTTGGTTTGTATGTTGACTCAAATTTCAAATGGCAGGATCAGGTAGGTAGTGTCTGTCAAAAGGTAACAGGAACATTGCGTGCTCTCTACCGCTTGAAAAATTTTTGCCTATCAACATCAAGGCAATGCTTGTGCAAACTTTGATTTTTCCTATAATCGACTATGGTGATGTGTGCTACCTCGATCTGAATGCAGATCTACTCAATAAACTTGATCGACTTCAGAATAACTGCATTCGATTTGTTTTCAATCTTAGAAAATATGATCATGTGTCCGCATACCGATCTCTTCTAAAATGGATGCCTATTATGCAGCGCAGAAGTATGCGGGCTCTGACCACTCTGTTCTCCTTGCTGGATTCTCCAAATGCCCCTTTCTATCTCATTTCCCAATTTCAGTACTTATGTACCGCTCATTCTAAAAGTCTTCGATCCTCTTCTAATCGCTTACTTATTGTTCCATTTCATCGCTCTGATACGATTCACTCATCCTTCTTCGTCAAAACCATACTTCTGTGGAACGAACTCCCTCTAGATATCAGAATGTCCACCAACAAAATCAGCTTTAAAACCAAGCTACGAAGCTTTTTACAGGAACAAGCAGTCTAGCCTAAACGTTAGTCGTCATTATTATGTATTTATTTAGTATATATGTTTATATATGTATATATGTATGTATGTGTGAATTATATGTATGTTTATTTATATGTAAGTACTTATTTATGTATGTGTAATTATTTATATGACTACTTCGTATTTATATCTGTTCGTCTTTTTTCCATCTAATTTGTGCACCCTACCACTATTTATCCATAACACCCTATGGTTGACTGGTAGAGAATGCCTATGGCATTAAGTCCGCCTTTGTACACTTGTGCATTAAGTATGAATAAAAATAAAAAATAAATCGAGTCAAAGGCCTTCTCATAGTCCACAAATGCTAGGCACAGGGGCTGATTGTACTCCTCAGTCTTCTGTATAATCTGCCGTACTATGTGGATGTGGTCTATGGTGCCGTATCCGCTCCGAAACCCAGCCTGTTCCGGTGGTTGGAAGTCATCAAGTCTTCGCGCAAGACGGTTCGCGATTACTCTTGAGAACAGCTTATAGACGTGGCTTAGAAGGGATATGGGTCGATAGTTCTTAAGTAGGGTCTTGTCCCCCTTTTTAAAGAACAAGACGACCACACTCCTACTCCACACCTCCGGAGTTCTCCCTTCGAAAAGGACAGTGTTAAAAAGCTTTTGGAGCTCTCTCAGTACGGGTTTACCTTCAGCTTTCAAGAGTTCTGTTGTAACACCATCTTCTCCAGGGGCTTTTCCATTTCTAAGCTGCCCAAGAGCAATCTCGATTTCGCCAATACTTACTTCTGGCAGGTCTTCGGTGAAGTGGCGTGTTAATGTGACTCTAGAATCCTCATATCCGGGACCGGGTTGAGATACATGTGATGCGTACAATTGGCCGTAGAAATCTTCCACTTCCAAAAGGACTGCCGGCTTTGAAGCAACAACTTCCCCTCTTGCTGTGGTTAGCTTCGTCAGATGGCTTCTTCCAAGAGATTGTACGAACACTTTGGACCCTCGATTCTGCTCGATCGCTCTCTCGATCGAGAGAGTATTGAAGCACCGGAAGTCGTGTCGTACGTGCTTACTGATATCTTGGTTTAGAGTCCGCTTTGCCGGCGAAGTGACGGGTGGATTTTCACGTCATTCCTTCCCTATATTAGCCCTAAAGCCTCTTGCGAAAGCTTTGACTTCCTGCCCTTACGCTACGTTGCACATAATCTCGTACCCTCTTCCCTGAGGATCCGAACTACATTTTCGAGGTTTTGGTTTACGTCGGATGTGGTTTCCACGGCAGCAAATCGGTTCTCCAGATTTGACTGGAACGTTTCAGATCCTGTTATAGATTGGAGCAGAGTAGGAGCCTGGATTTCATCAAATGGACGCGCTCGGCCTTAAAGTTAATATTCAGAGAGCCCGGAGATTCTTGGCACCCCCCGCCGCGCCGTTACCGTGGTCGCCCCCGTGACCAGGAATAGCGAGGCTGCCGGGAACTGGGGGCCGTGGCTTGTGATCTGTGAACATTGGAGGTACTGCCCGTAATCGCCACGCTGGGCAGGCGGGTTGGCGATCGAAAAACGTAAGCAAATTTACTGATGACGCCGCTGCCCGTCACCAGTAAAATTTCCCTCCCCTACGTCATTGGTTGATTATACCGCCATCGGTCGGTTTGCCAGAGCCTCGTCTGTTGGTCGACAGGGTGCACCACGTGTAGGTGAGGTTGGCTTGGGTTCATGCAGGTGTATTTAGAACCCCTTACACCCCTGACTATAGTAATAAATACAATTTCTTGCTTTTGATATTTTGGAGTTACATTTTTTTTACTGTAATAAATTGTTATTATTAGGTATATAATAACAATGATCGTATTTTGGACTAATTTTGAAAATATTGTTTAGCATAGCAACACTGTTTTGTGGTTATGGCGTAAATTGTCGTAAGTGAAATTGAAAGAAAATCTTCTAGAAAATAAATAATGGCTGCTCGTGGAGAAAGAGGTGTATCGAGAGTTTTAGATAAATTAGAAGCTTCCGTAAATTCTGGTCAGTACTATGAAGCACATCAAATGTACAGAACACTTTACTTCAGGTACATGTTAAAATTTTATTCTCATTATCCCTATTGGTATCTTGTTTTCAGATTCAGTTTTAAACCTTTATATTTTTATTATGTTACAGATATTTGAGTCAAAAAAAATATTCAGAACTTTTGAATCTATTGTACAAAGGATCAACTGTTTTGTTACAACATGACCAACAAGGTAGTGGAGCTGATTTGGCTATACTACTTATTGACGTACTCACGAAATCAGAAACCAAACCAAATGATGACTGGATTGATAAAATTGCCAAATTATTTGAGATGATGAACTCGAGTATTCCAGAACGTGAAACGTTTCTCACAAATGCAGTCAAATGGTCAATGGACAGTAATAAAAAAGGACATCCTTTACTTCACAAGGTATTACTCATAGGATAGTATAAACAGCTTCCGAAACATTCAGAAAAAGATCAGCTATTGATATATTAAATTTCCGTACTAATCTAAAATTTCCATTGTGAACAACCATCATAATTTATACAACAAATAATAAGTAAATTTATTTACTTGAAAACCAACCTTATGTTTTCATTAAGATTTTGTGTTTTGGACTGACCACATTTTTTTTTTAGTCATGTCATTTTAAGTAAGGTAGTATTTATTTCAAAGGTTGCTATAAAATAACTATTTATTATTACATCTCAGATTCAGATAAGAAACTCAGTTGGTCTCAGATTAGCTACTTACTAAAGGTTTATTTACTTTATAGAACTTTTTTTAACCTTATACAAAAAAATTTGTGTGTTTATTTTTTGACTGATACAAGTCCACAAAGCAGACTTGTGTTTAAATTATTTAACAAAGTAGTGAGGGTATTTAACCATGTTGAATAGTGCGCTCTCAAGCTTGTATTTGTATTTATTCATCATAATCGTAAATCATATTTTTCTTGATCTGTTTTGACATTGATCACACATATTATAGTTTTTAGTTAGTTCCTTGAAGGCTGTTTATAAAAAACTTGGGTAAAACTGTACTTCTAGGGCCCAAGAATTGACACTTCACAATTTTTTGGTGAAAATGTCTCTGTTAATGAAGTCTCTATGCAAAGTCTCCACTCCAGCGCACTGATAGTTTTTGAGAAAAATAAAATATAGAAAATTACTTTCCTAGTAAATAAATAACACTTTCAATTATTGGAAAGAAACGAGAAAGGAGGAATAAGTGGGTCTTTAATATTTTCTGCAAAATTCTTTCTGTTAAACACTGCACTTCCGCATCATCTCCGGCGCTGCGGGATTAGCAGCCCCTCTGCCCTTGCGTAACAAAGGTTCACAGGCACTCACTCTTCCCACCACAGCTTCGATTTGTTGCTCAGCAGCCTCAGCCGCTACAGGTGCACAGCGGAGGGGGGCTGCTCCCCCTCCACGCCTCTAGGCTCTGAAAAACACTCTAGAGGTAGGGCAGACCAAGAACATGGCATATTGGGGTTGACAAAGTCTGTTCTGTATTCAAGTTACATAAAAAACCTAATAATGAAAAGATAATTACCATAATGCGTTTCAAATAAGAATAGGAAAGCCAATGACCTCAATCTGTCAAATGTCGCTTGAAAAGTACGGTTTGAAAAAAATCTCGGAACACTCTTTTAGCAGCTGATTCTAGAATAAAAACCAAAAATTTTTAAACAAACAATAACAAATGTTGATAATTAATATTAGTTGTTTTTTTTTTTCATTTATTGAGCTTTTAGTTATGAATGGTTGATAACCTAAATCGTCAACCAAATGTCACTTTATGTTGCGTTCAAAAACTCGATTTAAAACTTTCGTTTACATATCGGATGCATGTTCGTATGTGACCTGCATGATTATTCATAACTTCTCCGGCGGTAATGCAGAGATGAGCGAAATTTAAGAGCTAGATTGTGATTAATATTTTTTTTCACACAGTGTTAATAAAGAAATACTATTAAAAATCTGATGTTTTGTCTCACTTAATTTTAGTAAATAAGGTTTATTAAATAGCAACATTTTTTTGCTCACTCTACCTATTTGGTTTGAATTGACAACTATGACATCGAAATATGGCGCCCAGTCGGTACTATTCTTAGTTGAATCGCATTACATTTTATTATCATACACAATTAAAATCTTTTAATAGATTTTCTAAGGAATTTTAGTGCTTAATTTTTATTTCCCTGGCTATATAATAATTTCAACTTAAACATATTCATATTTTTGTCTAAAAAACTACCAGTGCATACTTATGCACTGGTAGTTTGCAGGTTTGCACTTGCAAACCTTTGTTGTTGTTGATAACAACAAAAATACAAAGTTGCAACCAACAAAGTTTTTACTTTTGGGCCCTGGAAGTACAGTATATAAAAAATAGGTAATATAATTACAAATTATCTCTATAATAATTTATATCTTTTATGTAAGTCATACTTGGTAGAACCTATTTCACTATAGTCTAAATTAAAAATGATTAATTTTTACAGAAAATTGCTGAAGTATATTGGAAAGAGAAAAAGTACACTGCAGCACATAGACATTTCTTGCATTCCTGTGATGGTTCAGTTTATGCAAGCATGCTTATAGAACTACACACAACTAAAGGACTCAAATCTGAAATAGACCTGTTCATAGCCCAAGCAGTCTTGCAATTCCTTTGTCTGCGTAACATACAGATGGCTACTGAAACATTTAATGAATACACAGGCTCTCATCCTACAATAAAAAATGACAAGGGACCACCATATTTATTTCCATTACTAAATTTTCTTTGGTTCTTATTAAGAGCTATTGAGCAGTAAGTAAATACCTATATATTTCTTAATTTTTCTATACATATTTTTGTACTACATTTAACTAAAAATAAATTGTCTCTAGCATCAATGGACATGTAAACATTCACTCTCTTACCAGAAACTATTACGGTCCTACTACTATGGTCACTAAGACCTTTGCAAATTTTTTCCTATTTTTGTAACATTACTTTCTACTTACTAAAAATCTTATTAAATTGCTACAAATATTGTTTTTATTTCAGGAGACATGCAAGCCAATTTAAAATATTACGAAATTGGTATGCAATTAGTATAAAAAGAGATCCCAATTATTCTATTTACTTAGACAATATTGGACGTATATGGTTTGGTATTGAAATTCCAAAAGATAACAGAAATGCCAATTCATTGTTTGGTGGTTTATTGAAATCAATTATAGGTGAGGTGGACAGTTCCGATGAGGATGGTGACTTTACTGGACAAAACATTTCCACACCTGACTTAGATTAAAATTTTATGGGTCATAATCAATAATTTTAAAACACATTTGTTTCTATAGACATATCAGCTAAAGCTGCATATAAGATTCAGTGATTGTATGTATAATTAATTTATTAATATTTGTTTTATTACACAGTCAAATCACTAAAATTTATGAATTTTGTTAGGAAAAGATTCTGCCATGTTTTAAGACTTAAAATTTTATAAAATTTCCTTTAACTGAAATATTTAAAATACTCATGAAAGTATCTCCATACTATAATAATGATTTAAGCCCCCATAGGCGCGTTATTATCGGTCGACAATATTTAATGCGTTATTGTTGTTTTTAGTACATGTATTATAACGGTTATGAATTTGCACACTGCTGCGATACAAATGACGCAATATCGTAATAACGCATCCTGTTATCGACCGATAAAAACACGGCTATGTTGTTGAGGCCTTAACACTTACTAATTACAAAAATTCTTATTAAGAGAATGAAATTAAATTTGATTGTATGAATACTACTTTTTGCAAATTGTGACTTCTTATATTTGAGTTTTAAATCTACAATTTTACATAATTTCACTTTATAACTGTTTGTTTAAGACGCTTATGAATAACTAACTGTATATATCTTACTGAGCAATTAAATAATGATTACATGGCATTTTGTATTTTAATTGGATTTGCAGATCCGTATTTTGTCCACTGGCGAAGCACTAACTCTTTCAACCAACAGCAAAAAGTTGGTGTTAAGTATTTGCAGTTAAAAAAATTTTTTTCCAGATTCTGTTGGCACTGCTTGTCTGGTGTCAACTCATCAGCGCCATAAATTCAACTCATATCAAAGCCAGCGATATCAAGTTTATAGTTTATCCGAGGTGGCTGGAGACGTTGCTGTACTGACCTTAAACACGAACTCGCTCTTCTACTACACAAACTTTCCCTCCTTTTTTATTGAAGTACCCTCTAGGGAAAAATGTCGCTATGGCTACTCCCTTTTATGTTGCTCTATCTCCGTGGCGCGTGGCCGAAATCGGAACTAAATTTAAGATGGTATTTTTTGCCTTAATAAGCCTTTATTTATAGAGGTAGATGCAAATAAACCTTTTATATTTCCTATTAGGCGCTTTGCAGACGGCGGGGCGGAGCTCATTTCACTATTTGTTCACCAGCAGCGCCCTCTTGTCAATGTTATAAAAGTGCCTCAAAAGCTTGGTCGCACTGTATGCTTTGACCCAAGCACGTGGACAGATCCGTAATCGTATCGTCTTATTTTGTATGGAAGGAGCCAGATTGTTCTTAAATCCGGTAGGGGCGCTGCTTAGTTTTCATAGAAACTGACGATGCGATACGATTACAGAACTATCAAAGTTCGTGCTTGGGTCTCTCTTATTACGGGTCGGCGTGCCCAGAAATGCGATTTGAATGTAATGTAATGGCCAACCACGGATCACTAGGTACCTACATCAAGTGGCCCAACTTTAACACAAAAAAGTATATGAAAAAAGTTCGTATTCGTATTTAAGTCAGTATGTATTTTTTTATGTATGTACATATGACTTCTGATACGTTTTTCGTAATTTCTTTTTTGTTGAATTCAGAATAATCTCTATTTGGTCCCGTGAAAATTTTAAAGCGCCTACTGACATGCCTGCCGTAGGGACAATCTAGGGTGCACGGCGGTCGGGACAATATCAGCTTGTCTTTACACATATACATGCATGCTATTCAGTGTTCGGGGGTATGTTGAGCTAAACACACGCGTTGATGATGGTCCCAGTGTTATCTGTTTGGGACAGTCAGGTCTCCTATCTAATGAGGTACTCGTATACTTGATAAATAGAAAATTTGTATGCGTATTGTGCGCCGTTTAATATTCCAATGCGCGGGTCTTCTTCGTGGCTTCTTTCACCCGTTACGTTCCGTTTTCGTCGTTGTGCAAATTGGAGACACAAGCGTCGACATGGCCCCGGCCTTGGAAGCTCCTACTTCCAATCTAAAAATCGTATGTATTTATAGGAGTGGACATATCTTCGAGAATGCTCGTCGAATGATTCCCGATGAAGTGCGTATGTCAGCCACCCTGGAAACGCCGTCCCAATCTCCATTGAAGTGGTGGTAGATTGTCTTCTTTGACGAGAACCAAACTGTCAAGGGCGATGTCATCTGCTTCCGTCTTCCACTTTGTCCTCGTCTGAAGCTCGGCTATATATTCTCTGGACCAACGCTGCAAGAAATGTTGCCGAAGTTGCTCCAGTCTCTCGTAGCGAGTCAAGGCATTAGTGTTTGCAGCAGTCAAATCCATCTCAGGTGGCGCAGTCAACGGTCGACCAATCAGGAAATGGGCTGGAGTGAGGGGATTTAAATCGGAAGGATCTGAGGAAATAGGGGACATTGGACGAGAATTCAGTACGGCTTCAATTTGTGTTAAAATCGTGCTAAACTCTTCGTAAGTTAGTCTCGCGTTCCCTACTATACGTCGCAAGTGATATTTGCACGAACGTACCCCACTTTCCCACAAACCACCAAAATGAGGCGAATATGGCGGAATTTTAAATTGAATGCCATCGTTGCTTGCAAAATCAGAAATTTCATTAGTATTATTTTTTAAGAATAATGGTAACTCCTTCTCAGCACCCACGAAATTTTTACCGTTGTCTGAGTATATGATATTAGGTTTACCTCTTCGACTAATAAAACGTTTCAATGCTAAGATGTAGTCTTTAGAAGTTAGCGTAGTGACAAGTTCCAAATGTATGGCCCGTGTAGTGCAACATATAAATAAACAAATATACGCCTTGGATAGACGAGACCCTCTCCCCTTTTTATTTAAAATATAAACTGGTCCAGCATAATCAACGCCGGTCTTAAGAAATGGAAAACCAGGGTCGATACGATCACTAGGTAGGTTGCCCATGATTGGACTTAGTGTTTTGGCCTTTAGTCTCGTACAAGTTACGCATTCACGAACGACTTTCCTAACTAAATTCCTACCACTTAATGGCCACCAACATTCACGCATGGAAGCTAAAAGCAGTTGATGACTAGCATGTAGTAACCGCTTGTGTTCATGCCTACACAACAAAACAGTAAAATAATGTTTACAGCACAGTAAAATTGGATGCTGTTTATTATAATCGAAATGACTCGAATTATTTAATCTTCCACCTACCCTTATAACTTTGCTGTCATCCATAAATACGTGTAGTCCAGATATATACGTTTATTATTACACGTAGTTATAGGACGACCGTTCACTAAACAATAATAAACGTCGGGAAAAGATTGCAACTGTGCACATCTAACTAATAAGCGCCTCGACTCTGCTAACTCGTCTACGGAGATAACAAACCGGTTTTACGATCTTGTTTGTGAGCAGTGCGCGCGTTATAAATAAAACGTAGAATGTACGCGCCTATCCTTAATAATCTAGTGTAAGATGAATATTTATCGAATTGAATTAAATTCAAATTATTAGTGCTAATTAAATAAATTATATTATTACTAATTGATTTTAATTCTGGTAAATAAGATATATCTGAATTAATCATACAATCGTTAAATGAATTTAAACTATCTAAACAAGACGGTCCATGCCACCACAATTTATTGTCAACTAGCGCATCCAGATAGACACCACGAGACAACAAGTCACGTCTGTTAAGCTAGCATGGCAAAGTGAGCAGAATCGTTTAAAATAAAGTGCATCAATTAGTGCTTATTTAGTGCTAATTTAGTGCCAAAACCGGAAATTTAATGCTCTCATAGTTTAGCGAAAAATTAGAACACTGCCAGCTTTTAATTAAGCTAGCAGTGTATTCCCTGAAACGCCTATATTAACGCGGTATAGAACTAAAGCAATGCATACGGAATTTAGTGCTTAATGAGTGCTGGCAGTATCTGATGAAAATTTTGGAAAATAAAAAATATTTTATTTTTTATCAATAAAAACTGCTAGTATGACAGTCTGAGCAAGTGACAGGGTTGAATACATCACTCTGGATCGAAGATCTATGATAATCAACGGTTAATAATTTAGTGCTCAATGAGTGCTGCCAGTACGTGATAAAAAAGTAGGTTTTTTTTTTTAATTTTTTATCAATATAAACTGCTAGTATGACAGTCTGAGTAAGTGACCGGGTTGAATACATCACTCTGGATCGAAGATTTATGATAGTCAACGGTTAATAATTTAGTGCTCAATGAGTGCTGCCAGTATGTGATAAAAAATAAAGAAAGTTTAATTTTTTAATTTTTTTATCAATATAAACTGCTAGTATGACGGTCTGAGTAAGTGAAAGGGTTGAATACATCACTCTGGATCGAAGATCTATGATAATCAACGGTTAATAATTTAATGGTACCAATTCTGGCGTGATTCTCTAAACTTAAAACTAAATTTAACATCAGTCTCTCCTTTTCATTCTGTATAGAGAATGACAAGGATATACCGCTGTCAAATTTAAGTTTAGGTTTAGAGAATCATGCTAGAATCGATACCAGTGCTCAATGAGTGCTGCTAGTATGTGATAAAACATTTGGATTTTTTTATTTTTTATCAATATAAACTGCTAGTATGACAGTCTGAGCAAGTGACCGGGTTGAATACATCATTCTGGATCGAAGATCTATGATAATCAACGGTTAATAATTTAGTGCTCAGTGAGTGCTGCCAGTATGTGAGAAGAAATTACGAAATTTTAATTTTTTTTTTTTTTTTTTTCAATATAAACTGCTAGTTTGACAGTCTGAGCAAGTGACAGGGTTGAATACATCACCCTGGATCGAAGATTTATGATAGTCAACGGTTAATAATTTAGTGCTCATTGAGTGCTGCCAGTATGTGATAAAACATTTGGATTTTTTTATTTTTTTATCAATATAAACTGCTAGTTTGACAGTCTGAGCAAGTGACCGGGTTGAATACATCACTCCGGATCAAATATGTATGATAATCAACGGTTAATAATTTAGTGCTCAATGAGTGCTGCCAGTATGTGATAAAAAATAACGAAATT